TGTGTGTGTTTGGGGGGATCAGCAGCAAGGTTTATGGTCTGACTTTTGCATCCATCTAATAAACTAGAATTTTATGATGATCCTGTGAGTTGGTCCTTTGTAGCCAACGCAACATAGAATTCACATTTGCAGGCAGTAGGAAAGTCAGACCAGATTATGTTACACATTGGGATGAACAATATTATACCATGTATTTAAATGCACACTGACTGGGATAAGTGAAGGGAGGGCTCAGGATGCAAGAAATCTAGGGTCCTGGGTTTGTTTTGTCTGCCTCATGTAACCAAGAAACCGGGCTTTAAACCTACTGCAGCATTTATCTTAGAGGGTGGTAATCTATTTTCTATTAAAAGCTATTCTGGAAACAATTAATATATGTGCACTGGGGCAGTAATGTGTTTCAAAGGTTCTAGGGCTGTTGAAATATCCACATTTTAATTGATATCGCTATGGCACAGGTCGAAGCATATTTAACTTCCCTGTGAATATATCTTCTGCACTGTGCTCTTCCTCACTTTTAATTCCATGTGACCAAGGGATTTTTTTTCTGGTGCCACTTATCCCTTTGCAGTTTAATACACTGAGAAAAAGGGCTTGAATTTCCCCTCAAGGTTAATGGGAACAACTTCGCCTACCAGCCTGAAATATGACCCTATTCTAGGGCTATCCTATCATCCTGTCCTTTTAAATTCTCTCCCTTTCTCTTATTTTTTATCTAAGTCCATGAAGACAATGTTTATTTTTCTAGACTTCACCTCTAATATTTTAATTTTTGTAGCTAAAACACTGAAAATGAACCCACAGCTGGAAACTAAGCTATGGTTCACATAACATTCTTCCTCATAATCTAAAATCAATTAGAACTTAGTTTGCACTCATTGGAAATAAAACAAGCATTTGCTTAACTCCAAGAAATGTAAGAATCCAAGGACATTTTCTATGAATGCTTTACTGTTTAAGACTTGAATAGGTGAGTATTGCTGGTAACGTTCCTTCAAAAAACTCCAGCTTTCCACTGTAAGTAATAGCACATTTTGGCCTATTTATGTTAACAATGAACTAGACCAAAGCTAATGAGCAGGTTATTTTAGGGTCTTGGAAACCACAGTAAGGGGGGAAAAAATGACAGTTTCCCACAATATTGAAATATCATGAAAATAGAGTGGCTCTGACCAACCTCAACACAAAAAGCAAAAACTGAACAGACTGATGAACCCACTTCCAGGCATTTGGTTGACTCATTAGCATGTCCAGCCTCTTCTAAAGCATGGCTGCAGCAGAAAGCTGCTGCACAAAAGATTCCATTAAAGAAAAAAAAACCCATGAAGAAACAGATTTCTTTCTGGTCCTAGCTTCAGATGCTCAGAGTACCAAGAAACATTGTGCTTTTTCATGTTTTGAAAAACTCTACAAACTCTACAAATGAACTTGTTCATAAAATAAATAAAATGAACACAAACCTCTAGTGTCCAGCCTGACAGTCCCTTCATAAAAAAAACTTTCAGGAACTGAGAACGGAAAGTTAACATTTTCATTAGTGTAAATTTCATTACCCCATGCTGCTTCTCAGCCAGAATGCTGTGCACTAGCACAGTAGCATTAGGTTGAATTTGACGTGTAATCTTTCTGCTCTGTATTGTGCTGAATTCATAAAGAAATTGTTAACTAAATTAATTTAATAATAGTAGTTTCTATAACATTAGTAGGAAAACTAATTGACAGCGATGCTACACATATGGATATTGTACAATGAAGGAAGGATATTATTAAAAAAAAAACGCCTGGCCAACAAACTAGCATTGTTTCAGAACTTGCTTAATAATTCAGTACTAGAATCTTCAAGGTTTTAATTTTAGCCATTTTCTTCATTTATTAAACAAGTGATCAGATTTAGAAAAATTACTGAGGAGCTAAAAGCAAGGGTTTTGATCAGATCTTGGGGAAGATGTTGAATCTAACAGATTTAAGAATCTTTTGAGCAGGAGGCTTGGTTTTGCATTTTTATCATTGAGCAGAATAAATTTTATGTGCACCACAGACTACTGAAATCTAGTGTATATGACCTCGATTAACTTGGCACTTGCAGTGTAAAACAGTTCTGCACTATTACTTAGCATGGCTGGGTCTCACCCTTTAATAAGATAGTTTGATGTGTTAAATGTTATTTAAAGAATTATACAAATGTTTAGTACTCCGCATTCTGCCACCCTCTTGGCACTTCCCACTGTCTGTCTAATCCAAGCATCTCTAATGGCTATTCTCAGTTCTGTTTAACTTTGAAATACTGGAGTGATTGTAGGCAGCATTCTTTTCAAATGACGGTGATAAGAGAGATGTGACTAATAACAAGAGGTGCAATATAAAGATGGTTCAGAACATTTGTTAAATTATGTATCAGATAATACAGAAGCTGATTGTGAGAGCAGAATTCTTGCGTGTAGGGCCGTAACTTTGCAAATCTTCTTAAAGTATTTTCAGATTAAGTAACATCAGTGTTGCTCCTGCATCACAGGTATCACAGTACACCGCTGGTAGGGCTAAAAGAGTAAGTGCTGTTAGTAGATATCTGTAGGGGCACTGGCTAGCACAGCTCTAAAGGACTGTGCTTTTGATAATACTTTTAGAGAGAACCGTAGTTAGCAAGAAACATATGGTTGTTCATAGACATGCATAAACCAGAAAAGAGAAAAGATTGTATATATTCTAACATTATAAAAGCCCAAGTCTCATTCTGTCTGTCCGTAATGCTTTATTCGTGCTCTGACTGGCTGACAGATAGCTAATCAGAGTGTGAACAAGCATTCCAAAAGGAGCTGGCAGCCGGTGGAGTGTCACCAAGATGGTGGGGACACAGGGGATGGAGGCCGGGGGTAGGCCAGCACAGCTGGTCCCACCCTGCTCCCTGGAGGCGGGAGCAATGGAGTAGACAAAACCCTGCTCCCTATAAATTTGATATAATATTCCAGGCATAGAATCTAATACTGGAGGTGTGTGTTGAATTAGTCTTGAACCTCAACTTCGTCTTCCCCACAACCTCTTCCCCCCTGCAGCTCCTCTCCTCCCCCCTCTCCCCCCTTTACTGTCAGACCCTGCTTTCCCTGAGCTCATAGAAGGGAGGAACAAACTTGAAAAAAATGACCTTGAAATGAACATAGCTGTAGTAATTTGCATATAGTACCCATAGACTTAGTACATCCAAAATTGAGGTATTTCACCTTTTTTGAAACTGTTGCAAGTTTTAGCACAGGTACTTCATAAACACACTTTTAAGTAACATTTTGGCACCTACTTATATATAACACAAACTATTCATGAAACTTATCCAAAGCCAAAAGTTCATTACCATGTAGTTCATTGGGCTAGGCCCCACCAGTCAACAGCTTTTCCAGCCATGGTGATCCCACAGCTCAGCACTGCTCATTATGTGTGTGCACTCCAGATGCACGCCCCCAGAAGGATACATGTGCTAATTACCCCCCTCTTCCAACCTGAAACCGGGTGTTCTTGTCATGTGTCCTGGGATCCTCCAAAAATGTATATGCAGATGAGCCACAGGGCAACCTGGTCTGGCTCTACCTCTTGGAGAGCAGGGCCACACTAATTATATACATCAGGCTGAAAGAGAGGATGACAGTGATTCTGGACGAACTGTTTGGCCCAGTTTGGTGAAGTTTTAAGGCTGGTGAAGAAACAGGAATCATTGGACATGGGAAAGAAAGGTGCAGCTCAGCTATGGGAGTGAAGAAGTAGTCAAAATGTATTCAGTGTCATGGTTCATTTGAAAAAAGTAGGTACTGAAGGGGACTGCATTCAATGGGCATTACCCAACTTCAGATGAGTTCCACTATCCTATCCTTGTGGTAGGTTCCCATTAACGTGTTTGCCAAATGTGGGCTAAGTATTTTATAGTCGTGTTCAGTGTTGACTGCATTTAATCAACTTCATAGTCAGTTTCCATTACTGAGCACATCCTGCTTTTAGTAGCAGTTTAAAGACAGGCAGTATATTTAGTGAGGTCTCACTGTGTACAAATTTAAGATGAGGCTCTTTTTTCTCCATGGTAGTTGGGTAAAAAACTCATCTTGTATTTGAGTAAATACAGTATGTCATCTGTTCTTACCCTTAAATTAAGAACATTACACAAAAAATGTATAAAACTGTATAAATATGTAACTTGATGCCTGGATCATCATACTTAATGAATAGTTGTCAATAGCTAGTTTAGAGGAGGTATCAAGCAGAGTTTCAGAGGGGTCTATCCTGGGACTGGTATCTCTTAACATAAATGATTTGGATGAGGGGACTGAGTGCATGCTTAGCAAACTTGTGGATGACACCAAATTGGGTAGAGTTGCAGGCACTTTGGAGGGTAAGGCTGGGATGCAGAATGATGTGGATTGACTGGAGAAATGTTCTGAACCAAACAGATGAAATTCAACAACAAAATCAAGTACTAGTTCCTGCACTTGGAATAGAATAATAGCACACACAAATATAGATTGGGGTATTATTGGCTAAAATGAGGTACTGCAGAGAACGACCTGGGGATTACAGTGGACCATTAACTGAATATGAGATAACACAGTGTGCTCTTATTGCAAAAATAAAGACAACAGCATGGGGAAGAGAGGTTGGGGGGGACGAGGATTGGTTGTACCTAATAGGAGTGTCTCTTGCACGCAGAAGAGAAGCCTGAGAGGGATCTAACTTTCCTAATAAGCTTTTAATTGTGTATTTTCATAATATTCTCCTTTATACTACAGAATAAATATAGAACACACAAAAAACCTGTTCCTACAGTCATTATTCAGGTAAAACACCTTTTAATCTTAGCAAGTGTTTTGCTTGAGCAAAGGCACAAGGATTGGGTTTGAAGCCTTGATATTTGATTTAAAGAAGTTCCATGTGAAAAACATCAGATTTCTTAAATGTTAGTGCAGCAATCAGCCCCTTTCCAGTTTAAAGTCATGTTATGTTTCATAATTTTTGTAAACACTGATATTTCACTCTTTTTTTTTTATTCTAGACCAATATGATCGAGAAGCCAGCAAATGTTGGAATGCATTTTGCAAGACTCATAAAAATAACTTTTTCAAGGATCATAATTGGCTGTTTCTGGAGTTTCCAGAAATTCTTCCACAAGGAAAGAGAAATTGGATGGAAACAGAGGGAAAAGATCAAGATCATGTAAACAGGAATGCTGTAAGCCATGCCATATCTGCAGTTATTCCTGGAATGTTGAAAGAAGACAAATATTCTTGCCAGAACAGTTCAGAGGACTGTTTTACTTCTGTCCAAGGATGTACATACACCAAAAGACAAATGGAATCTGTTGTTGATAAGCATCACATGAACTCTGAAAAAGGACTTAGGAAGCTAGAATTTTTCCCTGGTAGCAATGCTACTTACAGAATACTAGAGGTACTGCACTGCAAACTTCTCACATGTAATCTACAGCTTGAAGCGATTGCTTAAAATGTAATGCTAGAAAGTAATTTTTCAGTCAATAACTACCAACCGTGCACAATACCAGCTTTAACTTCTGGCTGGAATTTTCAGAGGAACCTAAAGAAAACAGGTCTCAGATCTCCAAAGGTATTTAGATACCTAATTCTACTGGGAGTTAGGTACTTAAATACTGTTGGGGATCTGGGATTTGTCCAGTTTCCAATTAAAGTCATTGGGAGATGGACTTCTAATCCCTTAAGAATTTTGCGGCTGAATATACTTTTGTTCTGTGTAAGCTAGTGTCTTGTCCCAGAACAGCAAATTTGTACAAAAAAAGCTGTATTTTCCTGGGTAGCTACTTCTGAGAGGTGACTGCTCCAGCTACTGAGAAGTTAGGCCCTGATCCTGGCCCCTAGGGCCCATGTTTCGAGTGTTGGGGTATTCAGCAAAACAAAGCCTCTTCTCCCTGTTTTAAACTTTTATAATTCTTGTGCTTGATTTTGAACAAAAATTCTGAGTTAAGCCTTATTTGTTGTTTGTTTATTTTTGTTTGTTTCTACTTCAGTTCCAGGTTGGTTGTCATGCTGGAAACAGTGTATTTCCTATTTTGAAGGCTCCACGGTAAGCTGTGCCAGCCACCACCCCTTCCTCCAAATCCATACCCTATGCCAGGCCTGTCCAACTGGTAGCCTGGGAGGGGTTAAAGTGCGGCATTCAGGGCTTGTCTGTACACTGATTTGGTACAGCTCTGGAACCCAGGGATTCAGAGTTGCCGTTCACCCACTCACCTCCTTGCTTGACACCAAATTCAGGGTCTTTAGTCACAGCTAGCAACTCGACTAGCAGGGAAAAAGGGGGGCACTAGCGGTGGCAGTGTTCACCTCTGGGTGCCAGATCTGTGTCCAGGCTGCAGCTCCAGGAGTATCTCTGACAGGCAACTGCTGGGGGTGGGTTTTCCAACCCGCAAGAAGCCCTGAAGATCAGATCTGGCATGCAAGGCAATTAAGTTGAACAGCCCTGCCTTATGTTAACTAAACAAAAGTATTAAGCTAGTCTGCTCCTGGAAAAAATGCTGACTTGATTGCTGTAGATAGCAGGGAATTTTACTTACAGCATGCAGGACAGTGTTGATAGGTGCAGTGTATAATGTTCCCCAGGAAGTTCCTCAGGACTGTCCTAGAACCAGTGAGCAGGAGTATCTTATGAAGGTAGTTGTTTTTGGTTCTGTTTTTTTTCTCCGTAAGGCACCCACTGTTATCACACAAGTTACCAAATAGCCACCAAACAGAATCTGGGGTCACGTTCACTGGTGACATGAATGACAGTGCCATGCACATTGCACAGTGTTGTGAGTGCTATCCCTGACCACCTGCATCACTTCTGAATTTCACTATTGTCTATCAAATGGAGTCAGCTTATAGTAATGTGAAGAGAAGTTCTGTGTTACATTACTTAATCCCTTGAGCCATGCCATCCCATCTGCTTAGCAGCTTCTGTTTTAGGAGGTAAGCACATTTTCTTTGCCATGTATGTGCTTAGCATTTATTGGAAGAGATGTGCACAGATCAGAGGAAAGACGAGACTTCTTTCAACTCTTTTCTCCAAAAGCTAGTACTGGTTCGACAGACAAATACTATTAGTTTCCATTTCCATACTGGCTTTCTTCCTCGATGCAAATTCTATGATAGGCTTACAACATCTGTTTTATAGAAGCACACCATTAACCAGACATGGAAACTGAGGCATAGAGAGAATTAAGTGCCCTGCCAAGAGTACACAGGCAGTGGGTTTAAGTGTTTGGAATGGTATGTAGGTCTCACTACCAGACCAAACATTTTTTATCCCTTAAACATCATGTAATGAAAGAAGAAACTTTTGTTACTAGGGAAAACAAAGTATAAGAGAAACATATTGGTTACATATATCAGGAAAAAACTCAAACTGATATTTAGTAAACAAGAGATGTTTTTAATGCAAGAGTTCTCATAATATGAATCTTATTGGTCAATATTTTAGGTGGTGATTTCAGTTTATATGCAAATCGTACATGTGACCAGATAGGTGTATTGAAACACCTTACCTCACAGCCTTTCCTGTACTGCCCAGATCAAACCCAGCAACCTTACCTATTCAAAGGCATGCATCCTTATATCTAAGTAGAACTTAGGCTATATTTGGTATCATAAAAATTGCCTTTTGTCTACATACAAGAAAGTAGGTAGAAATAGCTGGGATCATATTCTGGTTGAAAGAAAAAATTCATCTCCTTGGGAATATGGATGTATATGTTTTTATCATCCAAAATTACAAATAAAAGCAATGGTTCTTTACACAGATATTGCTTCTTTAACATAAATCAACAGTGGGATAACCATCCAGACCAGACTTATACCTGTTATTTGACTGGAAACTGTTCATTAAGCTCTCTTCCTGCTTTCTCTGATCATCTGTTTATACATCCTAATGACCGAGTCATTTAGATAACTAGGTCAGTCAGTGCTGATGGTCTATGTTCCCCCTCCCTGCCATGCAAAGCCAGCCCAGGCTTCTAGATCAGGGCAAAGCCCAAGTTCACTCCCACTATCAGACCCTAGCCATTCAGTCCCTCCTGCTCTCGTTCTCTGTGGCCCTGACCTGCATCTAGTTCTGCTCCTAAGAGAGGGTCTTTACCTCTTTTGGGGAGGCCCAGTGCAACCTGAAGTTTCAAGTAGCAAACAGACAGCTCCACTTCAGTGAAGACATTTACTGAGCTGATGGAAACAACCAATCAGAGTGCAAATGCAGCATTTGGACAGCAGGTGGTAGAGCGCTGCCATGATGATGGGGACACGGGATGGGGGTGGGGGGCAAGGCCAGCTTTGCTAGCCTCACCTCCCCCCCTGCAGGTGGAACCCCCCCCCGCTCCTTGGAGGTAGTGGCAGCAGTGCAAGGGGGAGCAGGGTTGGGATGCTTTTGGGGGGGACAAGTCCATCACCCTTTTCCCTCCCTTCCTCCCCCCCACTTCCTGCAGGCATTAAATATGGAAGGGTGGGGCTGAGGCCAGCACTGCAGGCCTTGTCCCCTCTCTCTCTCCTGCACTGTTCCCTCCCAATGCTGGGGGGAGTAGCAGGGCTGGGCTGACACAGCAGCCTGGGAGGGAAGGAGCAGGTGGGGGAGAAGCCAGTCCTCAGGGGTTGCGGGGGGGCAGACCAGCAGACCCGGGGCAATGCAAGGTGGTAGGGGAATGGGAGGAGCAGCTTCAGCCCCAAAACAGCAGCAGGGAGGGTGGCAGGGGGCGTGCTGGACCCAGCTTGGCCCCGAAATGGATGGGGGGAGTGGCCCGGCCTAGCCCTCAAATGGCAGTGGGAAAGATGGGGGGCAGGCCCAGTATTGGCCCCACAATGGCAGTGGAGGGGTGGGGGCATGCCGATCCCAGCCTGGCCCCAAAACAGAGGGTATGGGGGTGGGGAGTGCACACCGGGCCCAGCCTGGCCCAGAAACAGCAGTGGGGCAGTTGGGTAGGCCCGGCCCCAAAACGGCAGTGTGGGGGGGGGGCAGGCCTGGTCCTACAGCGGAGTGGGGGAAAGGGCGAGCAAACTCGGTCCCAATGGTGATGGGGGGAGCCGGATGCAAGTTTCTGACCCCACCTGCACCCCCTGCCCATCATTCTTGATGGGCAATTGGCTAGTATTAACAATAAACCCTCATGGTTACTCAAGGTCAATCAGAAATTCAGCTGCTTGCCCTCACCCATGCTAGAAGATGCATTTTACAATCCATGGACTTATCTGGTTAGTAGTTGCAAAACTGATAAAGGTTTTGCTCTGGATGGGATGTTTTAGGTCCAAGAGAGTTCTCCTATTGATTCTTTATACATAGCCTCTACTAAACTGTATAATTTGGAATACCTGCTGGGCAGAGGCACAAGTTCACTTCATTCTATTGCCATAACATGCTGTCCAAAATCCATAGCACTTTAGGAGAAATTAATGAATTTTCTGAGGGCTAATCCTCTTTGTGCAGTAGCTTAGCTTCTGTTCTGTTCACCTTTTCTTATGCTGGTTGTGAAAGAGTTGATAAAACTCTGTGTCACTTGCGTTGTTTGGTGTGAGGGAAAAGGTGGCTTTGTAGTGGATGTGAAGGGAAAGGGTTGTAACATTACAGGAAAATAACATGCATTTGATTAAGAAGACAATAGGTGATGGAAGGAAACAATGAAAACCACACAGTCAGATCAAACCCAGCACAATTGATACCTGGGAATCAGGATACCTAGACCTCTTCAGGACTGTTGATAAATAATTATCTTAATTGCAGGAAAACAAATGTTTTTCCTGTTACTGATTATATGACATAAATGGGCCAGTGCTAGAGAATCTTAGTGGAGCTGCAGAGAGCTACCAAACAACCTCACAGTAAAATTTTGACCTGTTGTCATATGTTGACACAATGCAGTATCAGGGCACCATCACAACTATTTATGGCTCTCTAACTCCATCCAACACCATCTTCTTTACCACTTCTTCCCTGGCTATTGGGCAGTGCAGAAAAGTCTATGAGTCTGCTCTTCTTCACCAGTAGTTGGCAAGTATTCTTTCAGATCTGACTCATTTGCTCAGTGTACCCAGTGCTGCCTTGCAAACTTACAGAGTCCCCCAAGAAGCCTTGTTCTGTTCTGTGACCATCAACATAGACTCTTATCCTTTACAATAGCAATTCCTTAATCACTGTTTATTTTGTGTTCCTAGTGATGCACCTGGGGGCTTTCTGTACTGTTGTGATTTTGCTTCAGGAGCAGTGGAGTTGGTAAAGGTATTTAATGTGTTCATTTTTGAGAGTGTGGTGTACCCCATAAGCCTGGAATACAGAAGGCTGTAAGAAAACTGTCCTTTTGAAATGGGGTATTATGGTTCTGACAACACTGGAGTTTTCAATACTCCAAAGAACAAAGTCTTGCTCTGCCTGGAGAGAATGAATGCTGTCAGTAAGCCTGTCTCGCAGCTTGAACAAGATCCCAGAACAGAATCAGCTTTATGTGAAATGTTTTACAAAACGGAATAATTGAAAAAACGTTTCTTGAGTCATGCTAAATGTATTAACCACTGCTATTCTCTTGATGCTTCTCTTAATCTTTATCCTGACAGTCACACTCATCCTACAATCCAGCCTGGTGTTCTGCCTTTGTTCATGATGTGTGTGATGATGCTTTACCCTACCCTTTTCCAGATGAGATCTCGGATGTCATTCTTCTTGTCTTTGTGCTCTCTGCTATTCATCCTGACAGGTAAATGAAGACTAAAGGGCAAAGCAAATGGGTTAAAGCTCTTTTATCACTAGTGGTTTTCAAGAATATCAAAGCAAGATGATGAATCTTGAATTTATTATTTAGCATGCTATATTTTGCATAATACAGGGCATTTTAAATGCCATTTCCCCTTTTCAGATGTGTGAGAGAAGCTGGTCAAACTACTTCATTAGTGAGGCTTCTGTCACCATCAAAATGAAATGAGTGTATTCTAGTAAGACACATACCTATTAAAAGTGACAGTGCTTCAAGAAAATTACAAATTCAGGAACAGACTGCTAGTCTCCCAGAGGGAAATTACCCTTGGTGATCATAAAACAAACATCCTTGATTTAGCATCTTACAACATGTTGATAAAGGTCTGGGCTGCTGATTTAGTTGCACACAAGTGCATATGTGCTGGCCTCTTAAAAATAAATTAATTTAAGAGTGTGTGGCTTGTTTGGATTAAACACATTTAATCTAATTTTCATGCACAATATTATGTTGGAAGCTCTCGGGTTTGCTACTAAAGCCATGTTCAGTATCTAATGAACCATCTTTTTTGTTCCTAAATCTGACTAATTTTGAAAATATCTTCAATGGAAAAAATACCAAAGGGTATATGTAATTCATACTCACCAATTTAATGCTGCAATTCAGTTCCTCATTTATCCAGACTGTACAAAAGGAAATGCATATTGTACCTATAATGGTAGGATTTTTGCTTTACAAACTGCATTGCAAATGGACTTCCATGTACTCAGCAAACAATAGAACAGTATTCACCGCTTTAAATTTGAAAGCTATATCTTTGCTTGAGTGGTTGAGTTATTAATTATTAGTCTTTTTGCTGAAAAAGATCTTCCTATATAGGATATCTCTCCTTCCTGTTTGTTCAAAGATGAGCACAAGTCATGTGCAGAAGTGTGTTTTCCAAAGCCTGGGTGCATATTCCAAACACAATTCAAAAAGAGGATTCAAATCTATATGAGTGCAGTGGGCAAGGTTTTAGACCAAATATATTTTATTGCACCTTTTTGCCACTAGAAAGAATAAGTGAATGTTCAATCATAATTCCTGGGGACTTCCTCACATTAACCCTTTGAGCATAAGGGTTTTTTCCCCCTGAAGTTTAGGAGCCAGAAGATATCTCTTTGTGTAGTAATCTTTGTAGTATAATGCAGTCTCCAAAGGTTTATGTATTAAAATCAGAGGTGTTAAGTCTATGGATTTCAGGCAGAATCCATTTTGCAGAGCCATGTCACTTGATCTGTGGGGCTCCTAGAAGGGCCAGGAATTTTGGGGTAGGGTGAGCAGGGGGAGAGCCTCCTACTGAATTCTAGGGTAGAGCCCTGTTGGGGAAGCTTTTCAACAGCAGTTAGGCAAGAAATAGCTGAGTTAATCCCTGCCGGTTCCTGAGATGACACGGCAGTTAATGCCACTGCCAGTTGCCCTCCTACCAGAGGTGGGTCTGGATGGAGCCCATAAGCAGCACTATGAGCCAGACAGGTTTGCCATATGTGTTCTAAAAGATACCAGATTCATTATAGGCATCATGTCAAAGTAAAGTGATAGCATAAAGAAAACTGTAATCTAGACCCTTGCTCTTAAGAGCTCTTAATAGAAACTGTCTAGAAGTTTGAAATCTGAGAGATGACAAAGAAAATGATAGTTAAGAGGCTCAAATAAAAGAGCCTGGATATCTGCAAAGGTCAGTTCCTCAGGTGTTTATTGTATTTACTGCCTTAGAAACCATCAGGTAATATTTTGCTGTTAAGCCTCTATGTTCACCTTTTTTCAGTTGCTCATCTTGGATTTTGAGAAACAAAGTTCTGCTAGGAGCCCCTTCTGAAGTTGGTCTCAAAACCAAGTGATAATTTGGAAGGTGTCAAACTTCTTTGTGCCCTGTATTGAATGTACTATTACTGGGTCATATTTTTCAGAACATTTCCATTTTGTACATATATGTATACGTTTTGTCCAGATTTCCTTGTAAATGTCCAAAAGACATATTCGCCTGTGCAGAGTCTTTATTTTTGTGCCTAACTCTCTTTGCTGACTATTTTTGTCCCTTTACCCATTATTGTTAGGGCAGAAATATTGGGGCCAGCTGTGTGTGTTCAAACAGGTCCTTTAAATATTTGATTTCTAAGGAAATCCCATACTTAAGTTAAAAATAAAAGAACAAATTCTCTTTTTTACATGCTTCCTCTTGGCTCATAATTTTCTTTTTCTCCTGAGATACCTCCTAAAAGTCAGAAATAGTCAGCACCTTCAAGATCAGTGGGAGTAAGTTGGACTTCTTCAGTGCTGCTGTTCAGGGGCTAGTTTGTGCCATTAGGTATAGCTCCAGGCAAGCATCAATGCATGAGTTGCAACACTGTAGAAGGAGCCCCAAGGGGGATTGTGCTTCAGATACCTTCTGTGCTCACCCTTTGTGTTCAAGAAGGCTTTATTATACCACAGTATAATAAAGGGTGACACTGAGTTCCCCCCACCCTCCACCAATATGTCCAGATTTGTTTCTTCTACTGGATTCCCCTCCACAAGTGCAGTTTAGTCTCCCTTCCATTCCCAGAGGATAGACGTACACATAGCACAATGATATGCCTGGTATGAACACCTAGATAGACAGATTAGCTGGATAACTAGATACAAAGATTTGATGGATTCCCATCTGCCTTTCTCTCCCTTCCCGCTTTAGTCTTTTATCTTCCTACCTAGAAAGATGGCCTGATCCACTCCATCCAGTCAGGTAGATGGTTGTTTATTTCACTGTATGCCACATTTCTGTCTGCTGCTTTGCCTTTAACTTACTTCAGCCTTCCTCTAACCATGGAGGTCCAGATCTCAAGAACCCTACATTAATCCATCCTTTAACTTTTGTTTAAGAGGAGGAAAGAACTTGATTCCTCTCTCCATCATGTTTAAATTTGTGTCCCTTTGCACCCCTATTTGTGAATCTCTCTTCTTGTTTTTTGTACTGAGGCTGTTAGCATCTAGTATGTTTAGGAGATTCTATACTCTGAGGCCTCAGAAACCTACATGTTGGACCAAGCAGCTAAATAAAGCAAGTATCTTTGGAATTTCACCAGTATCATATTTGCTTTTGAAGATTGCAAGGAGTTGTAAATAGACTGACTAAATTACTGAAACCTGGAGAGATGTTGTTATTTTGAGACTATGGAAGATATGATACAACACAGCTTTGTTTTAAAAAAGGTACTGTCTAGAGATTTCTTTTAGTTCAGCATTTGTTTTTCAGCTTGTTTATATCTGTTAAATCACAGTCTGTCTTTTTACATTTTTTTTCTCTCTTAGGCTACTGTTTGTCAGAGAATTTTAATGTCCAAGGAGATGGTATTAGAGCTTATTTATTTACAAAGGTATGATGCAAAAGCAACAAAAATGAATTTTGGTTTTATAGGAGAGTACTAAGTGTCTCTTGAAATTGTTAGGGTTGCTAAAGTTCTTACTTAAAAGACCTGTAATTCTCATAGACCCCCTTATTTGATTTTTCCCTTTTTTCACAAACTTGAAATTTATTTTTTTTTAAAGATCCTTACAGAAGGAAGATTTCAGTTTCCTTCCCCAGCTTTGTTCTGCTGAAGCTGAAGATATAGTCTGGCTATTTTTATTTAACAGCCATAGTGTTTATTTGCTTTGCATAAATATTGTTTCTGCACCAGCATCATTGCTCTATATCTGTTCAGCTCTCATAGAGTCAGCAGAAAGAGCATTAACTGATCTTGTGGAACACATAAAAAGTATCTAGTCCATTTTTATTTTTTAGATTTGTGAAACATGGATTGATTTTTGTTTAAGCAAGAAATAGGTCTAAAGTTGTTATAGCGGTTTTGACTGACTTTGGGCCCAGTTTTGACTGTACTTCAATTTTACACAAGAATAACTGCCTTGCATGCTGTTAACAAAGGCACGAGATCAAAATCAGGTCTCTAAAAATATTTTCTTAACTAAATGGCCTTTAGGGACTGATTGTGCCTTTGGGGTCTATTTGTAGACCAGGTCTTTCTGTTATACAAGTACAGGCCTAGGTCCAGCTGAAAACCCCTCAAGGATTAGGGGAAGGCTGCTAACTGTATAAAACTAAATTCTTGGGACAGAGGATGAAAACTAATAACTAAGGAGGTGTTTACCGATCAGAAAATGCTTTAAGGAGGGGATATCAATCAGAAAATGCTGACTAGTACCCACTGCCCTTTGAACCTATCTAAGGAGTGTGTAGATGTGCATAAAATAAAAGGTGTAGGGAAAAGTGTGCTCTCTCTACCCACTTTGTAAAAGAGAGAGCATAATTACCCATATGTTCTAATCTTAAATTCATTGATATGTGAATGACATCCATGATAGTATAAAAATACTTCCTTTATTATAGATATGTCAAAGATACAGCTTGTAGCCTGTATCTGGCCCACAGAGTCCTGTTGTCCAGCATTCAGTGCTGCCCTTGGGTCTAAGCTGACCCACATACTGCTGGACTGATCCTGTGCACAGAGTCCAGGACATGCACCGCAGGTGGTGTCTGCTCCAGAACCTCTACTGCATATGATGTCTGCTCTGGGAACCATAGAGCAGCCCCTCCCTCACACCCTTCCTCCAGTCCTGGACCAGCCAAATGAGGGGGCACCATGTGCAGCACGGAAGCATGGCTCCTGGACTGACCAGGGCAGATGCTACATGTGGGAGTGGAGAGGGAGGCACACTGCATGTACTGGATCCAGCATGGGGGTGGGATTAGGGGAGTCCATGGTCCTGATCTGTGGACCAAAAAAATTTGACAGTCCTACTTTATACGGCCTTTTACGACCAGGTCACTAAATCATTGGATGCAGGGGTGGCAGTGGATATAGTTTTCCTGGACTTCAGGAAGGCTTTTGACACTGTCTCTCACCCCATTCTCATTAGGAAGCTGGGGGACTGTGGCGTAGACACCCATACAGTCCAATGGGTCGCCAACTGGTTAGAGAGTCGCACCCAGAGGGTGGTAGTGGATGGGTCCTTCTCGACCTGGAAGGACGTGGGAAGTGGGGTCCCACA